AGCATCCTTTGGGACTAAAGAGAATCCTTTGGGGCTAAAGAGCATCCTCTGGGGCTAAAGAGCATCCTCTGGGGCTAAAGAGCATCCTCTGGGGGTAAAGAGCATCCTTGGAGGCTAAAGAGCATCCTTTGGGACTAAAGAGCATCCTCTGGGGGTAAAGAGCATCCTTTGGGACTAAAGAGCATCCTTTGGGGGTTAAGAGCATCCTCTGGGGGTAAAGAGCATCCTTTGGGGCTAAAGAGCATCCTCTGGGGGTAAAGAGCATCCTTGGAGGCTAAAGAGCATCCTTTGGGACTAAAGAGCATCCTCTGGGGCTAAAGAGCATCCTTTGGGGGTAAAGAGCATCCTTTGGGGGTAAAGAGCATCCTGTGGGGGTAAAGAGCATCCTGTGGGGGTAAAGAGCATCCTGTGGGGGTAAAGAGCATCCTGTGGGGCTAAAGAGCATCCTTTGGGGCTAAAGAGCATCCTGTGGGGCTAAAGAGCATCCTTTGGGGCTAAAGAGCATCCTTTGGGGCTAAAGAGCATCCTCTGGGGCTAAAGAGCATCCTTTGGGGCTAAAGAGCATCCTTTGGGGCTAAAGAGAATCCTTTGGGGGTAAAGATCATCCCCGGAGCCCCGAAGCGATGGAGCTGAGCGCGGTTTCCCTTCTCTCCTAGGTGTGAGTCCGGCTTCCAGGCCTTCCCCAGGCACCCCCACGAGCCCCACAGCTCTCAGCAGTGGCCTGAAGCCTCCAGCCCTGGGGCCCCCCTCTGCTCCTGCCAACCCCTTGGCCACCATCCTCTCCAAGGTGGAGATCACCCCGGAGAGCATTCTGTCCGCTCTGTCCAAAACGCAGCCGCAGACGGCGCCGGCGCTCCAAGGTACCGGGATCCAGAGGGGGAACTCCTGATATTGGGATCTAGGCTGTCCCTCGGTGGATCCCAATGAGTTCTCCCCTAGTGCATGCGGGATGGACCTGGGGGAATGGCTTCAGCCTTCCGGAGGTGGGATGTTAGGTTTAAGGTCCCTTCATCCCAAAGCATTCCATGATTTGTGGATGGCTCCATCCCTGTGCCATGACCCCGGTGCCATCCACAACCCCGAGGAGGGTTTTATGCCCCCCCCTTGTGCAATAGGGACCATGGCGACCGAGGCATCAGCGCAGTGCCGTTGGGATGGAGACCCCCACATCCCCCCCTATGGGCAAAGCCACTTCCAGGGCTTGGGATCGGGGAGTTCCTCTTGGGGAGGTGGGGTTTGTGCCTCTGTTTGTGCCCCAAGGCCTCAGCCTGGTTCTGCTCTCCCCAGGTTTATCCTCCCTGCTCCAGAGCGTGGCTGGGGGCTCCGGTCCAGCCAGCGAAGCCTCTTCCCAGAGCACCACGGCCTCTCCCGCCGGCACCACCATTCCCAGTGGGAAGGGCAGGAGCGCTGCTCCTCCCAGCACCCAGTCCTTCCTATCCAAAGGCTTCGGGTACTCCCCCAACTCCTCCAGCGCCGAGGTCTCCACCACCTCCGTTAACAAAGCCCCCGTCGGACCCCCCCAGGGGATCCCCTCTTTTAAGCCTCCGAGCAATTCCTTGGCCTTTCCCAGCTCCCACCCCCCGAGCCCCTCATCCCTGATCCCCACAGAAACCCCCCTGGCTCCAGGCTCCGAGCTTCCCAAGGCCAAGCTGGAAGCGGAGCCGCCTTCTCCCAGCCTGGAGATGAAGATCCACAACTTCCTCAAGGGAAACCCGGGTTTCAGCGGCCTCAACCTGAGCATCCCCATCCTCAGCAGCTTAGGGGCCAGCACGGCACCACCGGAGAGCCACGGGACCGACTTCCAACGGGCTCCCACCATGGAGAACGTGGACGGGACGCCGGTGCGGGATGAGCGGAGCGGGACCCCGACCCAGGATGAGATGATGGATAAACCCACTTCCAGCACTGTGGACACCATCTCCTTGCTCTCCAAGATCATGAGCCCGGGTTCTTCCACCCCTAGCAGCACCCGCTCCCCGTTACAGAGCCGGGAGGAGGGGTACCCCCAAGAGCTTCCCAGCGCCGTGCATCCCTACCGGCCCTTTGGGATGGGCAGGGAATCTCCGGGCGGGCTTTACAAGCAGCCTGGCGACAGCCTGGAGCTGCCTCCCTCCTTGCTGGATTCCTCTCGGGATAAGTTCTATCCCGACGGCTCTTTCCAAGAGGACGAGGATTACCGCGACTTCGAGTACTCGGGGCCGCCGCCGTCGGCCATGCTCAACCTGGACAAGAAACCCACCAAATCCATCCTGAAATGCAGGAAGCTTCCCGAAGGCGCGGAATTCCAGCCCCTCCTGCCCGCCTACGCGCAGAGGGACTTTGGGGCCAAGGCCCCGTTCCCTCCTGCCGTGAGATCCATCCTGGAGCAGAGCGAGCCCTGCGACCCCTTGCCTGCGTCCCCAGGGCTCTATGGGAGCTACGGCCTCCGCGGTAGCGATTCCACCTCGGATGGATCCCATTCCCCCGGGAAGAACGACGCCTTCTCCAACCACAACGCCCTGCCCAAGGCCGTGGCGCATCCCAAGCCATTCCCAGACTCTCCCCATTCCCTTCCCCTCCGTTCCTTGTTCTCCTCCCAAACTCCCCTTCCCAACGTGGAGAAACCATTGCCTTCCCCCCTCTCCACCACGTCCACCATGGAATTCAAGACCATGCTCAAGAACGCCTCCCGCAAACCCTCGGAAGAGAAGCATTTCGCTGCCGTTCCCAAAGCCGAGAGCGGCGATCCCAAAGGCAAAGCCCAGGAGGAGCACTTCCGCATCGAGACGCGCGTCTCCTCCTCCTCCTCCTGCCTGGACTTAGCTGATAGCGGAGAGGAAAAGGGGGCTCCCATTGAAACCTTGGGGTACCACAACGCTTCCAACCGCGGGATGCCGGGAGAACCCATCCAGACGGTGGAATCCATCCGGGGTTTGGGCAAAGGGAGCAGAGGCCACGGACGGGAAGGGAGCAGGGGTTGGTTCGAGCTTAGCACCGGTGCTGCCGGCGCCTTCACCAACGGCCCCTCGGAGCATCCCGCTATGGCGGCGGCGTTCCCAGCATCCTACAAGGAGCACGTGGCCGCGCCGCCGCCGTTCCCGGATGGCGTCAACAACTTCCGGGGCAACAGCTTCCCCCCGGCCTTCGAGCATCGCTTGGCATCGGCACCGCCGCCGCCGCCGCCGCCTCCTCCTATGGAGCACGGGACTCCGTTCCCACGGGATCCAGGGCCCCCCCCCAAGGACCACGGCGCCTTATTCCCACGGGATCGCCTGCCGGCCGTGGATCACAGCAACCCCTTCGCCAAGGAAGCCTCGGCTCCGCTCGCGCTGCCCCCCCCCACTGTTGAGCACCCCAGCATCCCCTTCCCCGCCCCCCCTCCGCCCCCCGTTCCCGGGGAGCATCCCGGGGTCCCGTTCCCATCCCAGCCTCCGGCAGCCGCCGAGCACGGAGCCGCCTTCCCCGCGCCGCCGCCGCCGCCTCCACCCCCGGCTTTGGAGCACGGCTCCCTCCACCCAGGGACACTCAAGGAGCATTTCTCCAGCCACGGCCACGCCGCGGCCCGGGAAGCGCAGCCCCAAGGCCGGGATCTGGGCCCGGCTCCGTTATCCCGAGCTCGGGAGGCCGTGCCCATGACGCCCTTGGCCGGGGCAGGGGGAGCAGCAGCAGCAGCAGCAGCACCAAGGCCTTTGGGTCCCCCCCCACCAAGCACTGGGGGCCGCGGGGGGGTGCTGCTCCGGCCCCCCCGCACTGAGTTCAGGCCCAGGGAGCCCTTTGGGAGCAGAGACCCCTTCCATAGCCTCAAACGGCCACGACCCCCCTTTGGTAGGGGGGGGGCCCCATTCTTCACCCCCAAACGCCCCTTTTTCCCCCCCCGGTACTGAAGCAGCCGCCCTGAGCGCATCCCCCCCCCAATTCCCCCCACCCCAACCCCACCACGCGCTGGCCAGAGCAGCGCTTCCCACTTGGGATTTTTCCCCTCTGTTTTCCATTTTTTCCCCCTTTTTTTTTGTTCCTTTCCCCTCTAAATCCTCTAAATTAAATATTCTCTAATTTTATGCTTTTTTCTTTCCACTTTCCCTTCGGTTTTTGCCCCAAATTCCCCCCCCCCCCCGTTTGCTGCAGAACCAGCGCCCAGGAAAAGCCTTTTCCTGCCCCATCCCAAAGCACTGAAAACCATTAAAACGAATGCAAAAAAGAAAACCCAAAAAGGGGAAAAAGGATGAAAAAGAAGAAAAAAGGAAGGGTCCAACATTGCTGGAAGGCGGGGGGGGGAAAGGCCAAACCCTTCCCTTTATGATGCTGAGCTCCACTGGTTCAGCCCCCCCTATGGCACAAACAGCATCCGGCAGCGTTGGTCCCCCCCTCTTTGCCTTCGTACCTGGGGCTCTGAACACAAATCCCTTGGGAATCGCCCTCTGGATCCGCACGTGGATGGCGCCCCCCCTCTTTGCCCCCCCCCTCCCCCACGGCGGCTTTTATATGAAGTTGGGATTTTACTTGATTTTCTCTCGTTTTTGGGGTTGGTTTTTAGTTGCTAGAATCCATCGTTGCGGTTGATCAAGGTGTAGGGTTCAATATCCACATAAAGACTCCAAAACACCCCGAGGTGGCGGCTCCTTTTCTTTCACTCTGGGTTGGGGTGGGGAGGGTCCGGTTATCCCGTGGTTATCCCGTTGTTATCCCCGTTATCCCGTTTGTATCCATCCCCCCCCCCCATCCCTCCCCATGGTTCCGTCCGGTACCGCGGGGCCGCGCTAGGGGCGGGCGAATCCAATGCAGCCGGCGGGGGAGGACAAGAACAGAAGGCTGGGGCTCCGCCCCCTGTAGGCGGGGCTTGCGCGCTCTGACCACGCCCCTCAACGCGGATTGGTCGATGCCTCCTGGGCGGGGCTTGAGGCGTGCGTCCCTCGATGACGTCTTAGCGCGGCGACGGAAGGAGCGGAGCGTGACGTCATGACGCGTGCGCACAGGGCGCTGCTGCTCGCGGGAGCCCCGCGCCGGTACCGGGTGCGCCCCTCCCCCCCCCCTTTACCGGGACCGCCCCACCCCCACCCACAGGGACCCCTCCCCCACCCCTTGAACCCGCCCCCTTCCTCCCCCCGTGACCTTTGCCCCCTGTTCCCAGGTCTCCGGGCCCGATCCTGACCGGTTCCGGTTGTTCCAACGGCTCCGCCAGGATGGGAACGACGGCAACGGGAGCACCGGAAGCGGGACCGGGAGCACCGGAAGCGGGACCGGGAGCACCGGAAGCGGCCGCCCCGTCCCCGGCGCCCCCATCCGCATCGCGCTGCCCGGGGGCCGCCTCCTGCCCGGCCGGGCCCTGCAGACCACGCCCTACATGGTGGCGGAGCAGCTCGGGTGCGGCCCCATAGGGACCCATAGAGACCCCATAGAGACCCATAGGGACCCATAGGGATCCATAGGGACCCATAGAGAACTATAGAGACCCCATAGGGACCCATAGAGACCCGTAGGGATCCCATAGAGACCCATAGAAACCCATAGAGACCCCATAGAGCCTCATAGAGACCCTATAGAGACCCCATAGAGACACTATAGAGACCCATAGACACTCTTAGGAATCCCATAGAGACACACAGAGAACTATAGAGATCCTACAGGGACCCATGGAGACCCATAGAGACCCCATAGAGCCTCATAGAGACCCCATAGGCACCCATAGGAACCCCATAGAGACCCATAGGGACCCCACAGAGACCTATAGGGACCCCATAGAGACCCATAGGGACACATAGAGACCCATGGAGACCCCATAGAGACCCATAAAGACCCCATAGGGACACATAGAGACCTATAGAGACCCATAGGGACCCATGGGGACCCATAGAGAACATATAGCGACCCATAGGGACCCCACAGAGACCCATAGAGACCCCATAGATCCCCATAGAAACCCCATAGAGCCCCACAGCGCCCCCCCTGTGCCCGTGTCCCGCAGGGCGGCGGAGGCGGCGCTCGTGGCGCGCGTGAACGGGGCCCTGCAGGACCTGGAGCAGCCGCTGGAGGGCGACAGCGACCTGGAGCTGCTGGACTTCAGCTCGGCCGAGGGGCGGGAGGTGGGGGGGGCGTGCCCCACAGCGCCCCCTTTGCCCCACAGCGCCCCCTTGTGCCCCACATCCCTCCCTGTGCCCCACAGCGCCCCCTTGTGCCCCACAGCGCCCCCTTGTGCCCCCCTCACCCTGTGCCCCACATCCCTCTTGTGCCCCACAGCGCCCCCTTGTGCCCCACATCCCTTGTGCCCCACAGCGCCCCCTTGTGCCCCACAGCGCCCCCTCTGCCCCACATCCCTCGTGCCCCCATACCCTGTGCCCCACATCCCTCTTGTGCCCCACAGCGCCCCCTTGTGCCCCACATCCCTCCCCGTGCCCCACATCCCTCTTGTGCCCCACAGTGCCCCATTGTGCCCCACATCCCCTCTTTGTGCCCCACATCCCTCTTGTGCCCCACAGCGCCCCCTTTGCCCCACATCACCCTCTGCCCCACATCCCTCCCTGTGCCCCACATCCCTCCCTGTGCCCCACATCCCTCTTGTGCCCCACATCCCTCCCTGTGCCCCACAGCGCCCCCTTGTGCCCCCATCACCCTCTGCCCCACCCATCCTCTGTGCCCCACAGCGCCCCCTTGTGCCCCACATCCCTCCCTGTGTCCCCATCATCCTGTGCCCCACATACCTCTTGTGCCCTACATCCCTTGCGCCCCACATCCCCCCATTGTGCCCCACATCCCCCCCTGTGCCCTTCATCCCCTGTGCCCCACATCCCCTGTACCCCACCCCCCCATTGCACCCCATAACCCCCATTGCCCCCCGTTCCCCCCAGGCCTTCTGGCGCTCGGGAGCCTTCGTGCTGGGGGCGGTGCTGGAGCAGTTCTATGGGGCCACGTTCTGCCGGGCCAGCGCCACCGAGGACGGCTTCCACTGCGACGTGCACATGGGCGACCGGTACGAGGGGAGCCCCCATAGCCCCCTATGGGGCTGCCCCACACATCCCAACGTGTTTGAAGCCCCCCCCATAGCCCCCCCATAGCCCCCCCATAGCCCCCCCATATCCCGCTATGGGGCTGCCCCACACATCCCAACGTGTTTGAAGCCCCCCCCATAGCCCCCCCATATCCCCCCCATATCCCGCTATGGGGCTGCCCCACACATCCCAACGTGTCCAAAGCCCCCCCATATCCCCCCCATAGCCCCCCCATAGCCCCCCCCATATCCCCGCCATAGCCCGGTATGGGGCTGCCCCACACATCCCAATGTGTCCGAAGCACCCCCCATATCCCCCCCATAGCCCCCCCATAGCCCCCCCATATCCCCCCCATATCCCGCTATGGGGCTGCCCCACACATCCCCCCAGGACTGTGCCCCGCGGGGACCTGCAGGCCCTGGAGGGGGCTTGCGCCGCCTTCGCCCGGGCCCGGCACCGCTTCGAGCGCTTGGAGGCACCGAGGGAGCGGCTCCGGGAGCTGCTGGAGGTGAGGAACGGGGGGGAACTGGGGGGAACTGGGGGGAACTGGGACCGGTGTCACTGGTACCGGTGTCAATGGGACCGGTGTCAATGGGACCGGTGTCACTGGTACTGGTGTCACTGGTACTGGAGTCACTGGTACCGGTGTCACTGGTACTGGTGTCACTGGTACTGGTGTCACTGGTACTGGTGTCACTGGTACTGGTGTCACTGGTACTGGTGTCACTGGGACTGGTGTCACTGGTACTGGTGTCACTGGTACTGGTGTCACTGGTGTCACTGGTACTGGTGACACTGGTACTGGAGTCACTGGCTCCTGGTGTCACTGTTGCCAGTGTCAGTGGTGCCGGTGTCACTGGTTCCTGGTGTCACTGGTGCTGGTGTCGTCACTGGTGCTGGTGTCACTGGTACCGGTGTCAATGGGACCGGTGTCACTGGTACCGGTGTCACTGGTACTGGTGTCACTGGTACTGGTGTCACTGGTACTGGTGTCAGTGGTACTGGTGTCACTGGTACCGGTGTCACTGGTACTGGTGTCACTGGTACTGGTGTCACTGGTACCGGTGTCACTGGTACCGGTGTCACTGGTACCGGTGTCACTGGTACTGGTGTCACTGGTACTGGTGTCACTGGTACTGGTGTCACTGGTACTGGAGTCACTGGTACCGGTGTCACTGGTACTGGTGTCACTGGTACTGGTGTCACTGGTACTGGTGTCAGTGGTACCGGTGTCACTGGTACCGGTGTCACTGGTACTGGTGTTACTGGTACTGGTGTCACTGGTACTGGTGTCAGTGGTACTGGAGTCACTGGTAGGTGTACTGGTACTGGTGTCACTGGTACTGGTGTCACTGGTACTGGTGTCAGTGGTACCGGTGTCACTGGTACCGGTGTCACTGGTACTGGTGTTACTGGTACTGGTGTCACTGGTACTGGTGTCAGTGGTACTGGAGTCACTGGTACCGGTGTCACTGGTACTGGTGTCACTGGTACCGGTGTCAGTGCCCCCCTGCCCCCCAGCACAACCGGTTCCAGCTGCAGGAGCTCGAGGCGCTCCCGGCCCCCGTGGCCTCTCTCTACAGGTGAGCGCGGGATCTGTGGGGCAGGGGGGGCCCTGCCCGCGCCCCCTCCCAGCCTCTGCTCCCCCCCCAGGTGTGGGTCCCAGCTCCAGCTCTGCCGCGGGCCCCTCCTGCGGCACACGGGGCTCATCGGGGCCCTGCGCGTCCTCTCGGTACGGTTGGTGTGGGGCAGGGCTATGGGGGGGGCTATGGGGCAGGCTATGGGGCAGGCTATGGGGCAGGGCTATGGGGCAGGCTATGGGGCAGGCTATGGGGCAGGCTATGGGGCAGGCTATGGGGCAGGCTATGGGGCAGGCTATGGGGCAGGCTATGGGGCAGGCTATGGGC